GTCATAATACAATCTTTTGAGCCTGTGCCATTAAACTGTTGTTACAACCATGAGGTTGTTTCACTCAGTAAGAAACTACATCAGGTGAAGAGATTAGGCCACCATCTTCCAAATCTGCCCTAGTTAGATGGTGGGAATTGAGAGCGTTTTCTAGGAGTTCTAGCAGAGAACATATCTCTGTTCTTGATGCTTTAACATAAAGGATCAGTGAATCTCTTTTGTGCACAGTGCAGGGAACAGAGTGGCAATGGCAGAAATGGCTGGTCTTTGGAATTGCTGCCCCGACTTCATTAAAGTCTGTAGAAATAATCAACAAATATTAACTATCTATTTGGGCACCTGGTATCATGGAGCCAGGAGGTTGTCTGGAGTTGGGAACTTCGCAGATTTCCAGAGAAGGCGCATTGCTCATTGTAACGCATGGGCATGTTGAGGGTGAGGCTACGTCTGGGTCATGTGACACTGAAGCTTAGGAAGCTGGTGCCAGCTAGTTTTTCCACTTAACACAAACTGAGTCATGAGCGAAGGAGGAACATTCACGGGATGACTTGCCTCCCTTAGATGGAGGGGGCTGCTGTGGGCGTGGTCTAGTTTGTCTTCTTGACTAATGACTGAAGGCCCAGCCACACTCATCCACCTCCACCCCCAGGAGAAAATGGTCTTGGGTTGTATCATAAAGCAAGCTGAGTGAGCCGCAGGAAGCAAGTCAGTGGGCAGCCTCCTTCATGGGCTCATCTTCCGTCCCTGATGCGCTGAAATAAGGCAGTGGTTCTCCAACTGGGGTTTAGACGACCCTTTCACAGGTGTCCCATAGATATCCTGAATATCACATATTTGCATTATGATTCATAACATCAGTGAAATTATAGTTATGAAGAAGCAGCAAAAACAATGTTACGGTTGGGGATCAAGCACAGCATAAGGAACTGTATTGAAGGGTTAGCAGCTTTGGGAAGGTTGAGAACCACGGTGGTAAGGTGAACTAAACCCTTTTTTCTCCAGGTTCCTTTATAAAGGTTAGGGTTGATCACAGCAACAGGAAGCAAACTCGGTTAAAGCAAGGGGGGGGGCTGGGGGGGAACAAGGGAAAGAAGGGATCCCTAATGTTAATCTTTTCAGTTCTTTTCATCTTTCCGAAGACATCAGAAGTAAAATCATAGCGCTGACAAATGGCAGCTAACGGGCATCCTGTCACATCAGGCACTGTAGACTCATGACCTGTCACGTCACCTTCATAACCACGCTGTAATGTATGCATCTTTGTCACACCCGTTTTTCAGCACAGAAAGGCGAAGCCTGGATTCCAGCCATTGTCTATGCAGGGGTCTGAAAACCCTAGCCAAAGCTAGCACAATGATTGTTCTCGTAAATGAACTGACTCCATGGTAGCCTTCATTTATGTACTTTGCATGGCTACTTTGTAGCTAAATGGTAGAGATGCGCTTGCAAAGCTGAAAACATTCACTAACGGTTCTTTCTGGAAAAGGAGGGGTGTGTGTTTGCAGAATAGGGCTGTTTACAGGAGCTTCCACCTCAGATGGAATTGCCAGGATTGTCACTTGAAGGAAGTTAATTGGAGAAGAGAATAGGAAGTGTGGGGTGGTAATAACAGAAGAAACACTGGATTGGTGTCTGCCAACCTGGATTCTAGTCTTAATTACACCAAATGCTGCTGTGGGACCTCGAGTAAGTCACTCCATCTCCTAAGAAATCGGTTTTCCCCTGGTCTAATTAAACCACACTGCAGAGTTTCCAAATCAGGTTTTTTGAACATTTTTTTCTGACTTGGGAAGCGTTCTTTCAACAGATGAAATGAAATGTATTTTAACCGGTTCCCCATGGCAACACTTACAGCCATTTCCAAATAATAACCTTTTGAGTTCTCCCTTTTTTGGTTGGACACCTTTTGGGGGTTTAGGGTTAGGAATAGAATGATCTTAACGCAAAAACTTATTTTTGTTTTCTTTACATTTGTAAATGCCAGCCATTTCTTCCCCTGAAAACAACCTAAATCTGAAAAGCTATGTTCTTGAAGCTTTTTCTCCAGAGAAGCTGAAGACAGAATTTGAGGGATATGTGAAGAATTCGGAAAGGATTGTATGAAAACAGTTGTTCCCAGCTGTGAGTCTGCCCTGGAAACCAGTGAATGCCACGGGCTCAGACCAGCTCAGTGAGGACAAAACAGAAGTCCCTTCAGTAGAATGGACTGAGATGGCCGCTTACCAGAGCTCAAGGAACTCAGTCATTGATTGGAGAGATGGCTTAGCAGCTCAGAGCACTGACGCATTCGCTGCTCTTGCAGAGGACCTGAGTCCTGGCTCCCTTGTTGGACACTCAGGAAATCTGACTCCCTCTCCTGTTTTCCTCAGTCCTTCACTCACACACAAAACCACGCACAGACATACACATGGTTGGAAAGGAAAAAATTAACAAAGGAAGAAGATGAATCCTAAGGTAAAAAGAAGGAAATCTTAGGCTTGGGCTACCTGGAGTTAACAATAATAATAGCCTTGCCCCAAAAGACTAGGGAAAAGGCCTGGCTAGGAAGGGCAAAGGCGACCTTGCAGGATGGGCCTGAGCAGCACCGTCTCCGGCAGTGGGTGCCGATGGAAACCTTGGCTCAGGGTGGATCATGACGACAGAAGCCTGTGTTAGCCAGCTGCTTCTGTCTTGGCCCTTTCTAGTTAGAATGGGAAGAGAAAGAAGGTGTTCAGTGTATATTTTAAAAATCTAATCTCAGTCAGAGTAAAGTCCAAGTCTAGTTATATGTGTATTTTAGGAACAGAGAAATATCAGAAGTTCAAACTCATTATCTGAGAGTGAGTGCTCATTTAGCCAACACCAGCTGTGGCCAGGTGGCTGTCACGATGACTCAGCCCTCCACATACCGAGCCCCCTCTGCATTTACTTCCTCTTGTGAGGCGCTCACTCGTAGTGGTTTGAATAGTAGCTTCCAAAATGATGCATTCAGGCTATAAATAGGACCTGGTTTGGAGGTAGGGCCTTGGCAGGTGTTGTTAAGTTAAAGGCTTGGAGGAGACACCATCTCCGAGTTCCTGAACAGGCCCCGAGTTCACAGCCAGATGTACTGACAGGACAGACTGGAGGACACAGAGACCAGCTGGCAACATCACCGTGGCAGGACCAAACCATGGGGGCACCAGCTGCCGTGGTGTGGCTGCAAGTTAGGGAATCCCGGTCAGAGGCCAGGATTCTGCAGTGGAAGAGTGGCCCCCCAGCACTGTCAAAATCGGAACATGATAGAATAAATTTATGGTGTGATAAGCTGTCCCGTTGGTGGCCCTTCATGACAATAGTGTTTTCATCATTCATCCTGACTGCCTCCTTGGGCTAGCCCCGCCAGGGAATGAAGACCTAAGTAAGGGATTACGGGGATTCCCAACAGGCACCTGTGTGCCAAGATCTCAGTGATGCTCTGAACTCCGTTGGCTTTGACCGGTGTGTGTGATGTGTGGGAGCTGAGGCTCTACCTGGGAGGAAAACTGGAGAAGTTTCCACGATTCACCTCCATCTGCTCAGAATGCCACTCATTCATCTCACCTTCAGGTACGGTGAGTGAAGTCTCCCAGAGATGAAATCACTGGATCCTTGCCCTCAATAGGATATCTGGGTAGTTTGCACATCCCGAGAACGTTTCATTTTTAGAGCGCCTTACACACGCAGATGAAGTCCCACTCCCGAGTCTCATAGTAACTCCGAAGCAGGTCAGACCCCTGTGACGATGGGTCCTTGAAAGTTTTGTGGCACAAAGCCAGGGAGCCCATAAAGAGAGCCAGGCTAAAAAAATAAGCTTTCCCAACCCAGCGCACTGCTTATTGGCTTACCCTGTGGGGAATGACTGACAGCCTCAACAGCGGGTTGACAAACCGAAACTGCCTTTACCAGCAAAGTGTTCTTCCGTGAATATAGGAAAGAGTAAAAAGAATCAGAAAAGAAGAAAAGCAGACAGATGTTGTGGGATATATGATAACACTTGGAACTCTGAGTTTGCATTTGCGTTAATTAAATATAATCAACCTTGGGCCAGGAGGCAGAGCCAGCAGGTAGCAAGTAGCACTAGAAAGTAGTCCTAAGGATGGATAGAGAGAGGACATGAAGTAATAGGGAAGGACTCTGAGTGTGGCCGTCCTTTCGGGTTTGTTGGAGCAGAAGGAAGGCTTTTCGGAGACACCAAAGTAAGAGGGAAGGTCAGCTAGTTACTCCTCAGCCTCTTTGAGCCAGCAGGTTTTCACCCCAGCCTCTGATACCCCAGTCTTATTGAGAACTAGAACAATAGACGTCTAGTTAAAACTGCATTTGGTGGCAGGGGCAGGAGGCAGAACCAGAGGATGTAAAAGTCCCACCCTGGCCAAGACCAGAGAAGTGAGCCAGCAACCACAGAGCTGCAATTCCTGGCTGAAACTGCAGTAGATTCAGGTGCAGTGTCTGTGCTGGAGAAAAAATGACAGGTAGATATATTTCACATACCAAATGTGCCAGTGTTACATGTAATTGGATATGAGGATGGTGCAGAATTGATCATTCAATGATAGTACAACATTAATTAGGAGAAAAACAAAATTAAATGCCTGTCTCAAACATAGGAAACTGATTTGTACACTAAAGTGTCCAGTTGTAGAAACTGAAGCTCTGTGTACAACGGGATAAAGAGGAAACATTTTAATTGTTTCAGAGTAAAGGCCTTTCTAACCTTAGAATAAGCTTAGTGCTACAAAGAAAAGTCAACTGACTGGATTATAAAAATTAAAAATAGTGCTGTTGCTGGTGGCCCGCACCTTTAATCCCTGCACTCAGGAGGCAAAGGCAGGTGGATCTCTGAGTTCAAAGCCAGCCAGGTCTACAGAGTGAGTTCCAGCAGAGCTGGGGCTGTTATACAGAGAGAACCTGTCTCGAAAAACCAGTCCCCCCCCCAAAAAAATTTAAATGATGTTGTTAAGGATGCTATACACTTAATAGAAAGTGAAACAAAACATTTGCAATATGTGTTATTAGTTTATTTATCAATCGCTTGTGGTACAAAAGTTGTAAGATAGAAACTGTAGTCACTGCTAGGGACAAAGTGGAGATAAGTAGTCTTGACCTCAAGAAACTTGATCAAGTGGGCAAGGGACAACACGGAAGAAGGCTCCAGAATATGATGGGTATTATTAAAGGCCACATCTAGTTGTCATGGGAACACACATTGCTGACAAGTAAACAAGACTTGACATCTCTCCTGCATAAAGAATTTAATAAAATCAATGAGAAAAATGTTAACATAGGCATATTGACCAGAGATATACATTGGAGATTCCTAGATGAAAAAACATAGTTCATCAATAAACATGAATTTGTCTTCATGTGTAATTAAAGGTATGCAAATCAAACCAAAATATTTACCCACTAGATGATCAAATAATAATATCACCCATAATAAGGTCCTAGTGACAACATGTAGGAAATTGGATGCTCTCACAGACTTTGATAGAACTATCAACTGTAGAAAATCTTACGGTACACATTAATATTTATAATTTTAAAATCCATTTCTATTCAATATTATGAACTTATTCCTCCAAAATTCATTGTGTAGGGGACTAACTTTCAATGTGATCTTCGGAGAAACAGTCATGAAAGGGGGGTGGTGGCTGTAAGACAGATTTTAGTGCCCTTAAAAGTAGAGGTACCAGCATCATTAATTGCCTGTGGTATTTCCCAGATCTTCGTAGGCATGTCAACTGGTGGTGTCATTGCTCAGGTCTTGTAGAGGCTACAAAATTGTTGACATTTAATGGATGTAGCTCCCCTGTCCTATATAGAAGACACAATCTCACAGCAGGTATCCTGGTCATACAATACTAAGTGGTCAGCCCTAAAGCCATAGGTATATGAGCAACATGAAATGGAGTCAGCAGGTTGTATTTACACATTTACATGTATGTAATACATCTCTTTGATTGTAATAGTAATCAAATAAAGGGAGGGAGGAGAGGTGTGCAGTAAGGGTAAGGTACAACAGAGTTTTGAAGACATGGTACCCAAGAGAGATTGAAAAATAGGTTTCAATATTCATATTAAATGCTGTACATTTTTTAAAGATAAATAATACATCGAGCTAAGTATACTAAAATTTTAAAAAGAAGAGGCACCAAAAGAACTCTCTCTTTCTGTGATTCCCACACCTCCACTAATCCTACCCATGTGATGAACCATGCAGCAACTAGCTTCTGTAAGGAGAGTCCTCACCAGTAACCAACACATATTTCCATCTTGCATCCTGGTCTCTAGAACTGTGAAAAACACATCTTTGTTGTATAAAGCAACCAGACTTGGACATTTTGTTATGATGACCCTTATCTGATACTGTGTATGTGTGTATTTGCATATATGCATTTAAAAATTAATAGAAGAAGCAAGGCCATGTAAACACAACAACATCTCTCCAAAACTTATATCAAGATTTGCAAGATACAGACCATGCCAAGGTCCACCCCACTGTCTGGTTTTGAAAACGAAGTATTATTAGAATATAGCCATATTCATTTTTCAATTTATCATCTCTGGCTGTTTCATTATCACAACAATAGACTTGAATAATTGCAATGGAGGCTTTATGTTTGCACAAATGGAAAATATTTATTATCTGATCCTTCTTAGGAAGTTTACAACCCTCCCTCTGTAGATTAAAATTACAAACAATTGGAATATTCATTAATTATATTTGTCTAAAATTATCGTATATCCATACTGTAGAACATTATACAACAGTCGATAAAGTAGATTATCTATAAAGACATGTAAATATTTGTTAAGGGATTTTGATAAATGAGAATTATAGCTCAATGTGTATAGCATAATTCATTCATGTGAACCCTGTGTATACAGATGCATATTGATGTGTGCTTCCATTTACTAATTGCAGGCAGTGAATTGTGATATTGTCACATTAATGGACAAACATTGAAGCCTGTCATTGGTGATCTTTTCCTAACCATTTAATTAAGCAGCCATCAGAAAACCAAGTCAGAAACAGGACAGCAGTGATTTCTCTAGGAAATCCACGAGATGCAGGAAGTGGTGATGAGATGGCCGGCCTTGGCCTAGGGTGAGCATCCACCATGGATGTCTGAAGTGTGCCGTTGATGAATTTTCCTGCCGCGACAATTGGCCTGATGAAAGTAGGTCTCCGCTAAATGCATTAGGCTGAATTAAAACAAGACTTGGATACAACCCTTGCCTCTGGCCTTTTACAAGCTAGGCCATTAGATGACAAACACATTGTTTTCACTCTTGGAATCGTACTTCATGTTAAAGCGGGAGATCAGTCTTCTGCTTTTTGAGTCCATGTATTTTAAAACTTCTGAAGTAGCCCACAGAGGACCACTGTACATTGCTACCACAGTTTGCCGCCCGTAAAAGCCACCCACAGATTGTCACCCGTTGATTGTCTCCTGTAGATGATTGCTGACTGTAGGCTGCCACCCATAGATTGTTACCCATGGACTGTCACCTGTAGATTGTCTCCTGTAGATTGCCGTCTGTAGACTGCTACCCATAGACGGCATAGCCCAGCGTACTCAAGGAAACATGGCCCAGGCTGTCAGACTGGGTGTTAATTTGGTTCTTTACATTCTTACTGTCCTCAGCTACACAGTCACCAAGGAAAGTGTTTTCTCCCACAAGTCAGCCACAGCGCCATCCAGCCTGGATAGATGCCGTCACCATGGTAACAAACACCATCTCCCTGCTTCTGGCTCAGTGCTTATCCTCCATCTCCTCCTCGACCCCAGAGCCCCTCTCAGTCCTGTGGCTCCCACTCACAAGTTTGTTTGCTTGTTGTTGTTGTTCTTAAAGAATAGACATATTACAGCAAACAGTAATTGCACATGATCTGTTTTTCCCTCAAAGGAAGATAGCACTGTAACCCTTTTTTGTTGTTGTTGTTGTTTTGTTTTGTTTTTTGAGACAGGGTTTCTCTGTATAGTTTTGGAGCCTGTCCTGGAACTCACTCTGTAGACCAGGTTGGCCTCGAACTCACAGAGATCCCCCACCTCTGCCTCCCAAGTGCAGGGATTAAAGGCGTGCGCCACCAACACCCAGGAATAAGACGCTTTTTTGTTTTTGGTTTTTTTTTTTTGAAGTACCTAACTAAATATGGCATTCCCTTCCCATAACAGCACAAGTTCTTGTCTGATGAAAATAAAGGGAGGAGAATGGGATTTTTCAATAATGCTCATGAATCTTGTCACTACTTTTAAAGGAATATGCATTTTCCACTATTGTTAATTAACTTTACATATGTTGGTGCACTTTGTTCTGATCCTCCCTCTCCCCTCTTGTGGCCTCTTCCTCTCCCCATTAGTTCTCCCTTCTGGTTTCCTGTCACAGGCATCGCGCCACCCTCTCTCTCCGTCCCCTCCCTTGATACGTCTTCTCTTCTCTCACTGCTCCCTTCAAAGTCCCAATACCCGGGTGTGTCCACTGAGGAACGACAGGGGTGGCCACAGCCCTTGGAATGTTCTCTTCTGGTGTATCTGCAAGGCCCTGGGTTCCTGGTGCGCTGGGAAAGTATGCTCACACAGGCGAGGGATGAGGAGCACAACTGGAATGCTGGAGCCACACCAAGCCATGGAGAACCGATAGTGACAATGTCATCTGTTCCTGAGACAGGCCACCTGTCCCCACGGGATGCGTTCTCTTGTACCAGTTCACGTGCTGTACCCAGTACGTTTCCGGGACTGTGTTGACTGCAGGAGATCCAGAAGTACAGCTCTGTCATGGTTGGCTGTAAGCAGCTTGCCATCTAGAGCGCTATATGCGTCTGTAACTCTCCCATTCTCTTAGTGACCGGTCTCCCAAAGGCTGACCTACCCAGCATACTATTTTATAGCAATAATCTTTTTTTTTTTCAAGCACTAAGTGGACATTTTCATTCCCAGAAATCATTTTCTGTGTGCCTCTGCACTCATTAAACCAATGGTCTTCTTCACTTGGGGCGGGGGGGGAGTGGGGTTAGAGAAGAAAGTCATTTCTCGTCTGTCAGTGGGAAGCTGTATTTTCACAGACTTCACAGTGGGTCCATGGCGTTGCTTTCAGGCTTCGCTGAGAGAGGAAAAGGTGTTGCTTCATTCTGCCAAAGTCTCTTTTACAAAGCAAATGTGAGCCCGGGGAATCCAGATCACTGCATTCTATTATAAGCCCTCGCATGCGGCGCTGCAGGGAACACAACCACCTAAGAGGCTCAGGGGAAGCCCTTTGTGTTTCTCAGAGTCGCGAGCCGGAAGTGGAGCTACAAGGCACGGGTCACGCATGACCCAGCTCGGTGGTCTTTCTGGGATGGAAACTGGAGGATGCTGTAGGAACCCGCTCCACCGCTGCAGTTTCATCTTGGCGCATGCTCAGACCGTGGTTGGCACGGCTGTGCGTCTAACAGGTGCCCGGCTGGGCTTTAGAAATGTGTGGATTACCTAGAGGGAAGAACACTAGCTCTCACCCAGTCTCCCTCATCCTGTATGACGCCGTGTCCCAGAGGGAAACGGAAGATGAAGGAACCAGTGGAGCAGAGAAGAACCAAGGAAGAAAGAAAAGGACACGAGTGTGTTCTCACAGCCAGAGCCAGGGTTTCAGTCCAGGATGCCCAGCATGAAGAGGATTTCAGTCCAGGATGCCCACGTGAAGAGCCGAGAAGGACCAGCCACTCCTCAGTGACACCGCCACTGCTTTCTGGGCACTGGGATCGAACAAACGAGAAAGCATCAAAAACCGGCAAGGATCCAGAGGACACTGCATAACCCAAAGACATTTCATTATGCGCCACAGCGAAGAGTGACATGAACGTGTACTCTTGACGATATAGGAAGGGTGGGATGAAGGGAAGGGGGCAGGATGACACATAGGCAGATACTAAAATTTCAACTGTCCAGAACCAAGTTTGCCCTTAGCTAGAAAATAGAGACTAAAGTTCCGGCTATGCTCAGAGTGGTAGCTTGGGAAACCTCTAGACCAGGGTCCTTAGTTACGTAGAGAACTTTCTCCAGTGCCTCCTGAAGGAATAAATATTTGTTTTCACCCAGTGACAGAAGAGATGCGGGAACTCCTAGACTTAATGGGAGGACTAGAATCGGGATTGCATCGTCTCGTGGCCGCTGGGGACGTTTTGCTCGATCGTGCAGCTAACCTCGCTAGTGGGAAACCCGGTCAGTGCGCACTCAGCAGGGTGCTGGGATTTGAGATGGGGACAGAGATCCCTGTGAACACAGGTTATGGATTTCGAGTATTTACTTGACGTACACTAGATTTCATGTGACATCGTTGTTCTGAAAACACTCATTAAGGAACTAGGACAGACTATAGCAGGTGGCAGAGTCATCCACTAGAAGCCTTAGAGGTGGTTGTGTGTTTTAATGTGTTGTAAATCTTTTTACTATTATCTTAACATTTCAACTGACCTTCCTGTTAATCAACGGAACCACAGATTTCTAGTGAGGGGTTTGGAGTATGTTTCAAAGAACAAAACAAAAGCAAAAAACAAAACAAAACAACTCACCTCATTTACTTTATTTAATTCCACTGATCTAGTCCAGACTTGTAGTAGACCGTAAGGCTTAGATCTGAAAAGGCAAATTGCTTGGTCTTGATCACGGCACGAGTTAACTCGAGAGCCAAGGTTGAATATGGTAATGGTTCTTGGTGATTCCTTAATAGAAGCCAGCCACTTCTGCACACAACATGCGGAGACAGAGCAGATGGAGAGTGGGAGGCTATAGAGAGATCCTGCCGTGGAGTCACACGATGCTCATTTTCCTGCTATGCTCCATCGCCATGACTCTGGATGCCATTGCTCCGCCCCTTCAGCATGGACTTACTTCCCAGTCTAGGAACACAGGAACGTGGGTAGCCAGCGTGTGCTGGCCATGAGTGTCCAGAAGAGAGAGCACACTTGTTACCCTAACTCACACACAAGACTGTGTCACACTGGGGCGTGAACACCCTCCATGATAGGCGAGGCAGGTGCGACCCCAGAATCAGAGCCAGTCACCCAGCCACAAATGTCAACTCTCTTTTAAGAAAAACAAATCTGATGAGCTCACCGAGGAATGCTTAATCTTTACAAATAGACTGCTTTTGTTGCCTTCCCGATGAAGACATTGAGTCAAGAGATAGTTTCTTCTGAAAGGCAAAGCCAGGAGCAGGTCCTTAAAGGGACCCACTCAAGCTGGATTCTTCTACTTACCTAAACACACCGTAGATTCTGGCCCTGGAGTCTCCAGCAGATTTTCAGGCCTTGCCAGTCTTGCACGACTTCAGCCAAATGTGTCCTCATTTCTGGAGGCACTCTCCAGCTCGATTTAACTTGCCTGCTTCTTTACTCATTCATTTTTGTGTCGCCACGGCACAGAGCAAACAAGACTGTTAAGGGACGATCACAGAACTACTTGTTTTCTAACAACCACTGCAAGCAAATCCACTCCTAGGGAAATAATCTGTCTCAGACGAAATCGGTGTGGGTATGCCTGCCATTCCTTGGAAAATAAAACCTAGAATATTCTCAATTCTATCACCTGGGATGTTCAGTCAAAATTCCAATCTCATGTAAAGTTAGAGCTTTCTCCCCAAGCCCAGCACAGCACCTCTGTGAAGAAAATGAACAGAATGTGACGGGCCTTGTTGCTAGTTCCCCTCTGCATTCTTAAATATCCTAACAAGATGGAAGGTAGGGGGTAAGGGTATGGAGAGGTCTTAATGGATTGCCATCACTTTAAGAGGGACATTTGGTATGGATTTCCTACGTTCTTTGAGGATGTCCGTTTCTGAAAATCCTTGTTATGTGAGCATATGCCTTGGCTAATCCCTTGGTCTCCCTCCCACAGCCACAGGGCATCTGGTGGTACACCTTCGTCTTTGAAAACAACGTCTTCCCATAAGACAGCCCAGTTTCCCTTGAGCCACCTGCTGGGCGTCTATTCCTACCAGAGAAGTTAACTTCTCAGGCATGAGAGTCATGTACCAGTCTGGGATCAGAGACTGCATCACAGTGGTTTCTTGAAATCTCCGGAGGAGCCAATACCGAGCTGGTGCCACTTGCGGGTGGTGGCATTGCGGCACACGCTGTACATGGAATTGTTGTCCTAATTACTGCTTTCCAGACGTTTGATGTCAACTCTAATTCTCTTCTTTCAAGGTAAGGGTTGCACAACTGGATACAAATCACCTCACTACAAGTCCTAAATAGGCAACCCTGCCCATCATTTGGGAATCTAGCAATTTCCACCCCTCGAGATCCATGTAACCTTCCTAATGGATTCCTACCTGGGTGGGCTGTATACTTAACTTTAGTTCTGGGCTCGCACCTATCCCCGGGACTTCGTTTCCTCTGTCACTGGTTAATCACCTCTTCTTTCTGTGGCATCCTGGATGTAGCAACTATTTATGCCATTGTCCCTTCTTTGGTTCTGTGTCTTGTTACAAGGCAACAAGTTTTTGCTGCCTATCTGCCAGTTTACAAACCTAAGTCATTTTGGCCTTTGTTCTTCTCTGCTCAATCAATAAAGGGCAGGCTATAGGTCTTAGCAAGGCTGCTGGGGGACATTTGCCAATTCTCTGGCTTGGTCTCCTTGGTACTTCATCATCTAGCCTCCCACAGACTCCTGAGCTCATCAGATTCCTCTTCTCTTCTGCTTGGTGAGACAGACGAGACCGATGTGTGCTGCTTATAGGAAGTGTGCTTGTTAATCATTTGAAGAATCATGTTGCGAATCCATTTGCCAGTTGTGCTTTAGCTGGTATACACTCATTTCGTTCCACTTCCTTCCTCTCAGAAGAATAACAAACACAGGCAAATGTTAAAAAATGCCTCTGGAGAACAGACAAGACACACGCACAACTGTTTGTCTCGCGCTCAACTTTTTTTTTTGAAATATTTTATTTGCTGCTGAGAAGAAAATGAGAAAGTACATTAAAGTGGCAGAGATGCAGAGCCCATGATCTGTTCAAGTCAACACCCCAAATTATGCTGTTATCAATAATAACATAACATCAATAATAACATGGATGCTCTAAGTGCTTTCAACCTTTCTGTAAGTCCCCCAAAGAATGTTTCATCAGACTACTCTACTTTGGAAACTGATTTGAATTTAGGAAGCTAGATATTGAGAACAACTTTGATTGGACTGCATATTAAAGAGAGTTTATATATTCGCCATTAGTAATTCCCAATCTAATATTACCAAAAAGAAAGTTCTGAGCAGCTGCCACGTGGGATTCTAAAATATCACTCGCTGATAAATAGCATAAGCACCATTGACTCACCACAACCAAGCACAATTCTCTCTCTAGTCAGAGAGAGAGCAAGCTCAGGATTAGTTAGGTATCCAGCAGTCCGATCGGGGAGGCTAATTAGGGAGAGGAGGCCTTGAAATAGAAGTCACCAGAAAAACCTAGCAGATGAGACATTCCGGGAGCTGAGCTTGTCCTTCGTCACAGACAGATCACCTTCGAAGGGAACGTTGCCCTCGTGCAAAGAGCAGTTTTAAGGGTTCAAAACATTTTCTGTCGTCTGAGGATTAAAAACAGAAGCAAATGATAGCAGTTCATGAAACTGTCTCTAGGGGTTCTGGAAGCTTTCAAGTATCAAGATTCCAAATTAGTATAACAGGTATGCCAAGTGAGTGTCCAGGAAAGACACACCCACAAGTGCGTGGTGTTTGGCTTGCCCCAGACTTCACAAGAACCGAAGACAGGCAGTCTTAAGACAGGCACATGTGTAACCGGAAGTCGGGCACGTGAAAGCCCAGCTCTGAACGCTTTGGCATTTCAGCGCTCTCGGACTAGGAGAGCCAGCCTTCCAACCAAGTGCTACATCTCCGGGGAGGAGAGCCAGCCTTCCAACCAAGTGCTACATCTCCGGGGAGCCGCCTCATCCCACTAGCATTCCTATGCTCTGTTCTGTGGGTGCGGTCATCAAGGACGAGACGGCCATTGCTCCCGCATAATGTGTATTTAGTTGAGTATCCCTCAAAACCTGGACTGGATACCTTTTCTTGACAAACTGGCTGGAGTCCTGGTGTGAGGAGATTCTTAGGATTTTGTCCTGCGAGGTCTCTCTCCCCCACACTATTTGGAGGCGGAGAATGTTGGCTGCGGTGGGGAGAGCTACGGGAATGGTTCCCACGGACTAGCTCTGCTAAGACTGACATATATCCGTCTCTACAGGACTGGGGTAGGTAACCTTGAGAAAACACCAGAATCAGACATTAAAGATCTTTTCCCCCTCAGAGCTGCTGTTTTCTGAAGAGTTGGCAGCCTGTGCCTTACGTGAGGTGAGACTGAAGCTTGGCTTTTCAGCTTCATCATTGTGAGAGGATCCTGGATGATATGTTAGAGTCTAACGAAGGCTTTTCTACTTTCTCTTAAAAAAAAAAAACCCAACCAAACAAAAACAAAAACCCCTATTTTTATTGCACAGGCCAAGTTCTTTTTTCTTTCTTTTTCTTTTCCTTTCTTTTCTTTTCTTTTCTGAAGGACAAGGTTCTGAAGGACAGCCAGCCAGTTGTGAACTCTTCATAATGAGTTTTAATGAGGTGCGAGCCCCTTCCCTGAATGTGGGCCAGCAGCCCTCAAAGGGGAGAGATTATCTCTGAGGTCTCCCTCTGCCACGCTCTTAAGGCCGCTTGTCAGTTTCCCTAGCTTTCCAGGGCAGAAATCTTGGTTCCCTGGGGGACCACACCCTCGTGATCTGAGCAGTTTCTGCGTACATATGCTTCTTGTACACATGTCAAAGCTTGGTAGGTTATAATCCCACCATGTGACCCACCCTGCTCATGTTTTATTCCCACAATCAGAGACGATGTTCAAAATGCAGAACGACCCCCGGTTTCCTCAAGGGTCCTTCAAAGGACACCCTGCCACTGTGTGTGAGCAGGGACTACAGTGCTTCTCTGCCTACCTTGTAGGACTCGGGAGAGATGTAGACTGGCGGCCTTGGGGAACCCTGAAGGAAAGCTGCTCACTGACTTGCATGGAAGTGCTTCCACATTTTAATGGTCGGCGTAGCTGTACCAGTGTGCGCCACCTGGAAAGAAGCAAGGTTATCATCTCTACCTCATAATCTAGGAAAGCGAGGCCCAAGGAGGCTAAATAATCTTTCGGCCACACACAACACGCAGGAAGGGAGGGGACCCAGAAAGCATGGCAGGTTTGCATGACTCCAAAGCAGAGACTATCCTCTGGGGGAATATCATTTTAAGGTGTGTTACTTTTGTTTATGTTGCGTTTGTTTAACTCTGTGAAGCTGTGTGACTGCACCTATCTAAAACACCTGATGGTCTTATAAAGCGACAAACAGCCAATGGAGAGGCAGGAGAGGGGAATAGGAGGGGCTGGCAGACAGACAGGATAAATATGGGGAGAAATCTGGTGGGAAGAAGACATCTGGGACCAAGAGAGGAAGGAGGAGGACGTTAGGGGCCAGCCACCCAGCCACCCAGCCACCCAGCCACCCTGCCACCCAGCCACCCAGCCACCCAGCCACCCAGCCACCCAGCCACCCAGCCAGACACCAAGTAAGAAGGAGAGGAATAAAGATAAAAGGTAGGCGGGGTAATTTAAGAAACTGGCAAGAAACAAGCCCAGGTTGCTCTGACCCTGTCTCGTGCAGCTGCAGGAGAGCCTGGCTGTGTGCAGGCTTTGGAAGTTCCCCTTCAGGGCCGCTTCCCTGAATAAGTGATAGGAGTCCACCAGGCTGGCTTTTCTGACGTTGCTTTGGGGATAGGAACCCAAAATACACTCTTTTTCAAAGAATATTTTTTTCTTCTTTCATTCTTCATTCCAAAGATCAATGGAATCTACAGAGGGAATGAAATGATCTTCTCTTTTGAAAAGCCTCTACATTAAAAAAAAGGTTGGCTTGCCTTTGGACCGGCAAATACTCACGGCAGACAACTCAGGAAAAGGAAAACTGTTGTGAAGTTACTGACATTCCTACTATCTTTTTTATTACATTGACGTACATACAATCTTGAAACAAAGCTCTTTATAAACCTAAAGTAATTTTAAAATCATTAGTTTATAATCCAGTTTTTGAAATGCAAATAAAACAAATTTAGCTTTGAAATAATTTCTTTTCCTTTTTCTCAAGTTTGTTACTTTAATATTTCATTTAATTGCACCCTTCTTGGACGTTGCAGGGCATTTCCAACATTTTTATTTCTCGGCAGTATATGCACACTCCATTCCAGTCTTAGCAGGACCCTCTGACTCATGGAGGACTATGTCCATAGACAGAACCCTAAAGATGAGATCACAGAGATTGGAGCATTAAAACATCGCACCGTTACATTCTGGACAGTAGTGCCCAGTTCATTCCCTGTCATGCGTATTAAAGGGCCTGTTTCATCTCAGTCTTGCTAGCATTAATGATTTAAAGACCTTTTCAAACTGAAAGATGAAAAAGCCTTTCTTTTTCTTTAAGTAACAGCTTAGATTTTTAAAGCACTATAGCCGGTTCCATGCCATAGCATTTTACACAGTCTCCAGCAATACAGACTTACCCCTACAGGACAACCTTGCCTTTTATTCTGTAGAGGTCCAGAGGCGGACAAAAGTCTCTGGCCCGAGAACCAGTTTTAAGTTGCCTGCCACACACTTTGGGGGCTGCCTAGCTCTCCCCCCGTCTGCCAGGCCACTCTGCTTTGTGTGTGGACATAGGGAGGAGCAACATGTTTTTAGTGTTTGCTTTCCTCTCTGATGACAAAGGGAGTGTGAGTTCATTGAAAAGAGAGCAGACATCCGGAGAAACAGGAAAGTCCGGCTTCACAGCTTTAGAGCCACTTAGCGTTGACTCTGTCATTCACCTCCCTTCCTCTCTCCCTCCCTCCCTCTCTCTGTCCTCTCCCCCACCTCTCCCTTTCTCTCTCCCCTCACTCATGTGTACATAATGCACAGCATGGACTCTGTGTGTCATTTACCTTCTCTCTCTCTCTCTCTCTCTCTCTCTCTCTCTCTCTCCTCTCTCTCTCTCTCTCCTCCTCTCTCCCTCTCTCTTTTTCTCCCCCTCTCGCTCATGTGCACATAATGCCCAGTGTTGCTGCCATAGTTGTTCGGGTCAGAGACGGGACTGGCAGACTACACAAGCTAGGCTCTGGCACTGGTCTCCAGGACACCAGTTAGACAAGCAGTGAGTGATGCAGGGCTGAAAAACAGAAACAGATTCACTCAATGAGGCCACACTGGGAACAGGAGCCAAGAGGCCTAGTGACCCCCTCAACTCACCTGTGGGTCCTGCCATGGTTGCAAGAAGTCAACCAGAGCCTACCAAGACAGATCAAGGTGGAGTTTTGGGCAGCAGTGATTCATCGCTCTCTCTTGGGTCTCCCCTGCAAAGGGGCTTAGGAAGTTGTCAGTTCCATCCCAGAGGCGAGTTACTCGTCCAGCTGACCCAGGCTTCAGTTTTTGCCTTTTCCAGCGTGTGACTCCTGAGGAGACTTCAGTTTCTCAGGAAGTGTGGTCTCAATAGTGTGATAGACTTACTACCTTTAACTGTGTAAAGGTGTTTTGTATTTACTCCTGTTGCCTTTGTTTAAGATGTAAAGATCTAATTAAGGAAAGATGTGCTACTATTTCACCTTGCCTGCCTAAAGTATCTGACTGGTCTAATAAAGAGCTGAATGGCCAGTAGCTAGACAGAAGAGGGATAGACTGGGCTGGCAGGCAGAGAGAATAAATAGGAGAAGAAATCTAGACTAAGAGGAGAAGGGGAAGAGAAGGAGGGAGAAGGAGAGGGTGACGCCAGGGCCAGCCAGGCAGCCAACAGTCAGCTGACAGCCAAGCAGACTAGAGTCAGCTGGAAAGAAAGATATACAGAAGGAAAGAAAGGTAAACATCCCCAAGGCAAAACATGGATAAAGAGAATCAGGTTAAGTTAAGAGAGCTAGCAAGAAATGAGCCTAGGCTAAGGCTGAGTATTCATAACTCATAAGAAATCTCTGTGTCATGATTTGGGACCTGGTTGGTGACCCTCCAAAGAAAGCCTGGTACACATAGTGTTTTATTGCATAAATTGCCAGGGTTTAATTAAATAATCCCTCAGGGTCTGACATTTATGTTTCCATTTTCAACTGTAAATAACCTGGGTAAATATTTACAAAAACTTTATAGAACGGTGGTGGCAGGTGTGTCAGAAAACCAAGTTCTTCATTTACTCAGTGAGTTATTTTGTGAGTGTGGGCACAGCACCACGGTGAGCTTGTGGAGATCTAGCTTGGTGAGGCACAGTCTCCCTTGTGCTGTAGCTGTCTGTACTCCAGTGTAGCTGGCCCAGTGGTTTCTGGGCAATTCCCCAGCCTCACTACCACCGTTGCGGCAGGAGCTTCAGCAAACCTTTAAGCAGTTTAGCCGCCTCTGAACCCTTTCATGTCGCTATGCACATACTCCCCACCGCTCTGGAACAGCTGTGCTTACGCCACACCCTTCTACGACTGGAACCTTCCCAGTGCCAGCCCGCAAGCAGCATTTCCTGTGATCCGTGTTTTAGATGCTTAGGAAAATGAGAGATCATGTGGCCCAGGTTCCAACACCTAACATCTAGGTAATATAGGGAATGGCTTAACTAACTAATCCATTAATTTATTTGTATGCTTTCGTTATACGAAGTAAAGGATTTTATAAAGCTGTCTTGGCGAGCACACAGCTACAACGTGTTTTGATCGTTCCCACCTCCCATTGCCATCGCCCTCCTCATCCTCACCCCTCCCTTTTCTCGTCAGGCTTCCTTTCTCTCTCACTTGCATATGGGTATGTATATGTATGTATTGGAGACTCTGAGTTACCTTGAGATACGAAAGCTGCATAATTACTGTGTGACATATTCAACACGCGTCCCTTTAGCCTGTAAATGTTTCTGTGCTGGCTTTCGTGGTCCTGACACGGGCTTCAGATTGAGTTCTTGAAACCATGTGTGTGGTAAGGGGGTGCCCACAGAGGAGAGGAACAGGAAACACCCAGGGAACCACAGGACCCATGTGAGCTTGCAGTAATGTGCTGAGTGTGTCCCCATCTTCCCTACCTATGCTTAACCTGAAACCATCCAGGGTTCAAGTTGTGTACCTGTTCCTTACAGCAATAGGAGTGGAATTTTATCCTGTCTGCTCACCCCCCCCCCAGTCCAGGCCCGACAGTGTACCGTATACGCCCATATCAGACAGCAAGAGACGGTTTTCATTGTCAAAGTGATGGGATTTCAGGGCTGGAGTCATTTACCGTTAATGGTGTGACAGTGGTAGTTGATGGATTTAGCGTCAGCCTCGGGAGCTAAGTCCAGCTCGCTCATCTGACTTCAGTGATGCTGTGACACGGTTCCAAAGGACATCTCAGAGCTGCCAGCTGCCGGCATGCTGCTTCTCAGATAAGTCAGGCCTGTTCCTTGGCTTCCTTTCTGAGAATAGCGTGCTCACAGCAATTTCCAGAACTCATTAGTTGCAGAAGATGAGACCTACCTTAAGCCCACTTAAGTATGAAGTGAAGCCCTTGTCGCAAACCCATGTAACTCACACAGCTGGAAGTTGTAGGCAACATGTGGCCAGCGGGCCAACGGGACGTGTCCCGAGACACCACACTACCTTCTCACTTGTGCCTCCTTGTATTGTGTCCTCTTCAGGTGCGTCCTCCCTGTGTAGTGCTCCTACACATTTCTACCCAACGTCCTCCCTGTGTAGGGCTCCCATGCATTTCTACCCAACGTCCTCCCTGTGTAGTGCTCCCACGCATTTCTACCCAGCGTCCTCCCTGTGTAGTGCTCCCACGCATTTCTACCCAACGTCCTCCCTGTGTAGTGCTCTCACACATTTCTACCCAACGTCCTCCCTGTGTAGTGCTCCCACGCATTTCTACCCAGCGTCCTCGTGCTCCCACGCATTTCTACCCAGCGTCCTCCCTGTGTAGTGCTCCCACACATTTCTACCCAGCGTCCTCCCTGTGTAGTGTTCCCATGTTTCTATTCAATTAGCAACCCCAGCTGAGCTTCCTTTTTCTTTTTAATTATCTGTTCTCTGTGTTGTGTCCAAATTCTGAACCCCAAAATCACCAAGAGGCCAGGCGGTGGTGGCACATGCCTTTAATCCCAGCCCTCGGGAGGCAGAGGCAGGCGGATCTCTCTGAGTTTTGAGGCCGGGCTGTTCTGACAGCCTCCAAAACAATACAGAGAAACCCTGTCTCCTAAAAACAAACAAACAAAAAAAGAGGCCTATTTCGATGCAAAAGCGAAGAGTCTTTTATTGTAGATAGTTAACAAGCTAACCCCAGTAGCTCGGGCCCTTCACCATGGCAAATGGCTGGAGAAAGACCCCAAGCAACCTCGAGGCAGGGATCTTAAAGGGCAGCGTAAGGGGGAGTGTCTAGGGGTATGAAACAGTCTCAGGATTGGTGCGCTTCCAGGTTTGGGTGAACTGCCCTGTGTTGATTGGTCGACTGGTTGTTATGGCCCATAGGCCCTCCCAGGGCGGTTGCTATGCTCTGCACGTCACTGTTGTGCACTGTCCATAAAGCACAGCCCCGCCAGCTGACTTCTGATTGGTTCCTTGCCACGAGGATGGCATCTGACCTCCTAGTGACCAGGACAGCAGCGGCAAGGTCATGTAAGCACATGTTAGCCTGTAATGGCTGCTAAAATGGGGGACTGGTCACTACATCTGTTGATCGCCAAAGCCTTGCAATTCGGAGGTCCATCTCTGAAATCTCTCTGGAGCACTGAGTGCTCTTGTCACCTATTTCTAGAGACTCAGAGTTCTGTGTCATCCCCAGTCACATTAACTGCGTGGGCAGCCAGAGCTCCCCACCACCACCACCACTCAAACCAAAGCTGAAGCTCTCTGTTTGTTATTGACTGTTTTGTGTGTGTCAGTACCCGTATGTAGAGGTTGGAGGACAGCCCTCAAAAGCTAGTTCTCTTCTCCTGTCTTTACTCGAGCTCCAGGGACAGATCTCCAGTTATCTTGGCAGCAAGCGTTTTATCTGCTTAGCCATCTCCCGAAGATCATTTCATGTTCCTAAAGCCACACTTAGCCTCCAGAATGGCGGTCAAAGCTGTGATTAAGTTCTGTGGCTGATGGCTATAGACCAAGACAGCGGAGGCCCCTGAGGGTCAGAGCCTTCTTACAGTATGCAAGAGGGCCAAGAGGAAACACCAGCTAAGCGCCAGGCTGGGACCTGAAGCCAGTGACTCCAGGACCCACAAGGAAGGTCCCTGCAAATTCCAGCCAACTGCACTCGCCGCCATGAGGAGACCGCCTCCCTTCTCTGGGTTTATTTTCCTTCCTGTCCCATGAGTTCATCAGCCTACAGGGCTGCCATGTGGATGGGTGGACTCTAAGTGATCCCCTCGGACCCCTGCGCTCAGAGCAGCCTCACGCCTGCGCTGTTGCTGTGATGTCCCTGTCTTCAAATTCGCAACGGTTTTCTTAGCAGGGAGCCAGTGGTTTCGGTTTGTACTGTGCCTGCAAATTACACAACTGGCGTGTGGCCTAGGTCAGTGAGTTCAAGGATTTCCTGGCGTCTGCCGATGCAGCAGAGGGACTAGGCCCCTATTTAATTGAAAGGAAAACCCTTTTCATACAGAACTAAAAATGTTTATTTATTAAAGGCCATCTCAGAGTCTTTTCTGTATGAACGAGCTTTGCAACTTGGGTCAACAGGGGT